AATACAGTTTTTATTCAAGCTTTTATGAACACATTTCCTGAAATATTCATCCTAGTAGTGATTCAATTCACCCTTCAGCCTGACGGATGGTGATCTGAATTTGGAGAATTATGAAAACCTTTCCAAATGTTTGTCATAACCACTGACCGGTTGTATTCTCCTCAGATATTTGTTACAGTACCAGGAGCCGATCCCGTGTGAGCAGCTGGTCACAGCTCTCTGTGACATAAAGCAGGCCTACACTCAGTTTGGAGGTACGGAGCTCAGCAGTCTGTGGGGGGTGTTGCTCTTAACTCATTGACTGGCAGCCATTTTAAGAACAGAGTCCCGTACTGCCAGAGTTTTTTGAGCATTTTGACTGATTTTTCAAGAGCCACAGAATAGTTTGTGCTATGACTATGTAAACACCGAACACACCAAAAGAAAGAGTAGACTCTCTTCTTTCATCAGGAAAAAAACAATTGTTTCTACCTTATTCCGTTCTTCCTGGACTTGCGTCTCACCGGCGACATGTTCTCTCATAGAACCGTTACCTTTTTCTTATTTGCCTACAGTCTATGCTCATCTCCCATCAAAAGTGGCACTGCCCCCTAGAGGGTCAATTTGTTACTACATACTCTGTCTAGAAGCCGATATTTACAGACAAGCTTTAGCAGATCGTCCCCCAGACACTCTCGTTGAAAAACACAAAAGACGTCTTTGGCAGCCAATGAGTTAATGTTACTCTTAATGCCATTTTTTTGAGAAGGTTAAGGTACTAGGCGCATGTTTAAAGGTATCCGGGTTTGTTTTTTTTCAAAGGTAAGAGACCGTTTGGTGTGTCTCTGCTCTACATGGGCTGGGATAAGCACTACGGCTTCCAGCTGTACCAGAGCGACCCCAGCGGGAACTACGGAGGCTGGAAGGCAACCTGCATCGGAAACAACAGCGCTGTGAGTTTAGAGTAACCGTTAATGGATGATCTCAAGAGTAAAACAAGGGAGTGTGGGCTGGTCCATTTTGCTCTCAGTATGCAGACATATAAGCAAAAATATAGAAATATATTAAAGGGGACATATTTTCCCCATATGTCCCCATATTTTCAACAAGTTAAGCTAGTTCCCTGGTGTCCTGATGTAATGTCTGTGACAAGCTTTGGTCAGAATCCCATAAGGATGAAGCCCAATAGCAGTTCAGTCCCCCTGCCTAACCCTAACCCTAACCCTAACCCTAACCCTAACCCAAAACAGCCCCGTTCAGAGCGCTCGCTTTGGAGTGCCTGTCTCTTTAAATGCAAATGAGACACAGGCAATCCGCCCACTTCTTCAGGGAGGTGTGCCCACGTCGGCACGCTAACGCTACCATGCTAACGCTACCATGCTAACGTTCACGCTACCATGCTAACGTTCACGCTACCATGCTAACGCTCACGCTACCAGGACGTCTCCACAGATAGGGGAGTAAGCTGAGGGGGGGGGGCAACATGCAGGTGAAAGGCTGGAATATTATAATGAGCTAGATAATATATAATAATATTAATATTATAATAATAATAATATTATAATGAGCTAGAGCTAATGACGTCAGAAACTACCCACTCCTGAAACCTCCTGATTTATCTCCTGGATTCAGACTGAGGCGGCCCACAAAAACATGACCCAGTCATTTTTTTTCACACTTTTCCTGCTGATAGGCCCTCCACAGTCCCAAATGTACACAATCAAATGATTAAAAACTTGGTTTTGCATAACATCTCCCCTTTAACATGTAGGGACATTTAAAAAAAAAAAAGTATATTTAATGGGGGGTTTTTTCACAATAAAGGCTAACTTGCACAGTATGTGATTGATGCCGTCTCCGTGCTTTTTCAGGCTGCCGTGTCCATGCTGAAGCAGGACTTCAAAGAGGGCGAGATGAGTCTGTCCTCGGCTCTGGCTTTGGCCGTCAAAGTCCTCAACAAAACGATGGATGTGAGCAAGCTCTCAGCAGAGAAGGGTGAGGCTCAAAGCACCTTTTTTCCAGCTATGTTTAAGTAGATATATACACATCAGGCTTCAATCTGAAGTCTGAAGTCCTTAACGCTTTAAAGCCTGATCCAAGAATAAAACAAAACAGAAACTTACTTTTTTTGTTTTAAGTCTATATTTAGCCTTTAAACTAAATATGTAAAAAGAAAAAACAAAAATAAATTTTTAATGTTAATCATTTATTACTATGCGATAAGTCAAGATTATTTTTTGTGTAGTCTTCTGCCCCCTGTTATCAGGTGTATCTGATTGTGTACAATAGGATTTTGACCATTTTTTTAACCATTAAATTATGCAATAAGTGTCAGACGCAAAACATTTCAGAAACCGTATGAATCAGATATGACACATTTGGCATTACAGGGTTAAACCGGAAAGATAGATAGATAGTTTATTTCCTTTGGGAGCAGTAACAGAATACGTTGTGGGTCTGACTCTTTCAGTGGAGATTGCCACTCTGACGCGGGAAGATGGAAAAACGAAAATCAAGGTGCTGAAGCAGAAGGAGGTGGAGGAACTCATCAAGCGGCACGAGGCCGAAGAGGCCAAAGCCGAGAAGGACAAAAAGGAGAAGGAGCAGAAGGAGAAGGACAAATAAGACAAATATTTTCCCACTCCTCCTCGAGTCATTAAATCCTGTTTTGTTTTGCCTTTTACAATAAACACTTAGAAACCTGCTGACGTGTGTGATTAGTAGACTTGTGAAAACTGTCATAGTTGAGTATTCAGCTTTGAAAAAACTTTTCTGTGGTCACTTCGATTAGTTTGACCAAATTCAAATATTCAGTCCTTAAAATTGGCTCATTTATTCCATATAATTGATGGTTTTAAAGCGAAATTGCTTTGGATAAAATTTATTTCAAAACAATCCAACGAAGGATGACCCATTTAACTAAAATTACAATGTTTTCTTTTAGGTAAAACATTGAAACCTCCTTAAAATGATTAACTTATCAACAGTTTCTGTTGGGAAGGAGAGTTCCTGTGTAGTTTGCACCTCTGAACACTTGGTGGCGATAGCGTTTACTCTTTAAATGTTTTGATCTCATTTATTCACTTTTCAGTTAGAAAGGGAAGTACAAAAAAGTCCTGAGTTGTGTTAGAATAAATAGCACTTCTACATTAACTAGATGTGTTATCTTTAAACATGAACCACTAATGAAAACATGAACATTTGTGCATCAACATTTCATGTTAATATCAGATCAAACATTCACTGCTAAAGACCCGCTGGCTGAAATATGACACCAGTATTCCCACAAAAAAGCAAAAAAACAACAACACATGTTTAAAGAATGTTCTCTATTAATTATACCACCATGACAGCACATTAGCCATTAATATAAATGCAAATGAAAACTATTTCGAGCAAAAAAAGAAGTATCAAATCCTTACAAACAAATCCTTAAAACAGCTTTTGATTTTAAATAAAGTGAAAATAAATATCATTAAAGCTCCTCTCTAGTTCAGGGTTGTACTCAAACACACAGGCCTACTCAGCCTGTAACCGGTTCATTTCTAAGTGAGGATTTGTAAGTGGAGGAAACTGAGACAGGACAACATGTCTTTTTAGGAAATTATTTTAGAAGTTAGACCATTTTGTAATATTTTACCATCTGAAATCTCTTTTCTGGTGAGGTGACAGACAGAATCTGGGCTTCTATCAAGCTGCCAGTCGTGGTTTCTAGACAGAAAAACAACTCTGTCTGGACTTAAAC